CGTGGCCCGAAGGCCAGCCCACGTGTACAGGACCCAGACAAGTCCTAAAGTGACCGCCAAACTTCAGGTAGTCGTATAAACGAAGCATTACAGTCAATTTAGGATTTGTCTGGCCCTTGTACTCATGGTCTGGTCTTCAGGTCATGCCTAGGGCCTTTTGCTTTGCCCCCTTTAAAATACATATGTCCACCTTCACTTACTGCCTTCTTCAACCCTATGGGAAGTCTCGGAACGCTATAGGTTTATTAGGTATCCTTTAAGTCACAAAACTTGGAATTTGCGAGAGCTGTTTGAGAATGGTTTATTGAGTATCATACACAGATGATTGATGATTGATGGGACGCTATTCCAATGTCGCTCTGAGGATGTGTTCACGAGCTACTTATGAACGGGATTCCTGTTCGAACTGCTTTACCGTATCCACCATATAAAGGCAGCTTAGACACTGTATACTTTTCAGACGGTCAGGTGTTATTCCGCGGAAAGGTCCTCGTGTTCTTCAAGCACAGGATTTGAATTTGAATTGACCTGTAGCGTCCCGAGACTTCCTACCCGGTAGAAGATGGTAGTAAGTGAAGCTGAATACATGTATCCCAAATAGAGTAAAGCATATTTTAGATTTCGATGTCAAATGAATGCATGTAAATCAACTGCCTCCTGAGAAAAGTAATGGAAGAATTTGGGCAGTGCCGAATTTGGGGCTACACTGGTGGCAGCAACGGTCAAAATTGCTCTTTTAAGGAAGATATGGACTTCGAAGATTGGTTGATTATTATAATTTGATATTTGATATTCTAGCAAAAGAAGCAGTGCGTACTACTGCTATCCTGCGTCCTTCCTCACGGCCTACTTCATACGGCTAAGGTTGCCGGTGTCACCCCCTTCTGAGATATTGATCACCCCTGGGCGGGGATGACGAAGAGTTTGCCCAACATTCACAACATTTGGAAGAAAAGGTTTCCAACGGCGTAGATGGCCATCCAGTTTAATAAAAAAAATTCGACTCACCATTTTAGCAGAGCAACTTATCTTTGTATCAGCAGTCAATTCCCAAGACCTCGCTTATGACCTCCTCCCATTCGCATAACTGGTGGTCAAGCCATAATGGAAATATATGTTCCTTCTCGACTTCGGCATGGCTAGGTCTCTACCACATACACAAGCTCATCCGTCTTTTTCCAATAAGATTCGGGTGTCCACTCGGACTACAGAATCACGCTCCGCGGAGAGATGTTGGAAAGGCGAGGAGTAAAGGAGGGAAGGAGAACTAGGCAGTGAATTTCATTTTATGCGCAGAACTCCCATGAAGTGTAATACTAGGAGAGGATTTCCTCCGTAGGACTCGAGGGATCCTGAATTTTGCTTAAGGCACATTTGTGACTCATCAAAACTGTGGGTCGCATGTCTCTGCCCCTCGCTCTGAAGAATGTGCAGGTGACATTCGAGATTCCCTTTTCGCTGCAACAGTCATTACCGTAGCCAGTTTAAGTAATCTCTGCTCACAGCTGACAAGTCACTGCTAGTAAAAAAAGGGCGCTGTGCTCCCTGCTCAACAAATACCCAGACATTCTCCTGGCGGGGTTGAAACTGGGACAACCGAACACCCCTAACCACATGGTAGACACCGGTGAGGCTAAGCCGATAATTACAACCGCCCAAGCGAATTCCCCTTCCCTTTCAAGAAGTACACTGACTGATTGACGAGAGGCATCGCGATGGCATCATCAGGTCCTCTCCTCTTCCATCGCATTAGTAAAAAGGATTGACGGTAATCTACGTATATGCATCGATTAAATAAGGCGAAACGCGATGGCAAGGAGAGATACCCTTCCATTACCCCGCTTTGATAGCGCATTAGACTCACTGCAAGGAACCAGGTGGTGCTCTACACTAAACTTGAGATCTGGCTATTTGCAAGTGGAAGTAGAGGAGAAGGATTGGTAAAAACGGCTTTCATTGTACCAAACGGTTTTTACGAACTCTAAACGATCCTGTTTGGACCTACGCGATCTCGTGGTTACATTCTAACGACATGCAGCTTTGTGCGGTCCATTTCCGAAACCCTGCCTTATCTACCTGGATGGCATTCTCACCTTTGGTGAGGATTTCCAACAACATACGAGAAGCCGATGTAACATTGAACGCAAAACTACTGTTTTCTTTAAAAACCTGTCAAATTCCTGAACCACAGGTCTCTGTCGAGGAGATGACCGTCACGGAAGACCGTACGGAACAAATGTGGACTTAGCCAATACTCACTAATCAAAGGGTCCCTGTAGTTTTATCAAGTTGGAGAACTATTACAAGATTTTTGTCAAAGGTTTTGCTAAGAGCGCTATTCCACTACACAAGCTGACAGAGGAGCAAGCGAGAAAGGACTTTCGTTGGGAAACCGAGCACACATGGTACTTAAGGAGTTAAAGAGCGCCTTCTGCAGCACATTGATACTAGCATTGGAAAGAGATGCGAGCGATGTAGCGGTGAGTGGTGTACTTCCTCAAAAGCATGAAGGAAGTAAAGAACACGTCGCTAGTTTTTTTGGTAAATAAGAAAATGTAAAAGAAAAGCGCAACAGAATGGGAATTGTTTGTCCTACGGTCAGACACTTCGAGCATTATCAGATAGGTAAGAAATTCATAGTGCGTGTAGACTACCAGGCCCCAAAGTGGTTGAAGACAACGAAAGAAATTAAACGCTTAGTTTCTAACGGATGTGAGGAACTACAGCAATGTGATTCATCATGCAGTATAAGAAATGGAGCGTTCATGGCAATGCGGACACTGACTCGCAGAACTTTCTTGCCAGGGGCAGACGCTCTACAATAGGTCCGTTGCTGTTGAGCGAATCCTCTTCCCTCATCGAAAAAACATGCAGAGTGCCGATCCGGACACGACTCTTATATATGAGGAGCTACGACCAGCCTCGGCTAAGCTAACAGTCGAGTAGATGAGCTCGGGAGCAAGAGAGCCAAACGAACGTGACAGATCTGGTAAAAACTCACCTTAGGAGACGACATCAAATGGTAAAAAGGTGATGCAGCAGTTCATAAAAGCCTTACGATACCAGGTTTTTTGGCGCAGACAGCCGATGTTGGAGTTACACGAGCAACTAGGCTATGTAGGGAAAAGAAATTTGATTATCGCCACAAAGGAGAGGTATTGGTGACGCTAGCTGACATCGAATATCTTCGTTTTCTCTCTCCAGCTTCAAAATTCGCACTTCACCACGGTTGCCTTCCTTCAGCTAGACATAGACATCATGAGCCCACTTCCTGCAACAGCGAGAGGGAACTGCTATATTTTAATGAAGGTAGGCCATTTCACTGAGGTTGATGATGCTGAACCTTTACAGGTGCAGGACACTGAGAAAATTATGACTGCATTCTTCGATCGCTGGATCTGTCAACACGGCATGCCCAACTCTGTTCATAGCAAGCAAGGGCCTACTTTTGAAAGCCGTCCCTGCAAAGAGCTGTGCAATACCTTTGGAATCTTTAAAACGCGCAACACGCCGGAGCATCCTCAGAGCAATGAGTAAGGGCAAATAGTACCCTTGTGGACTTATTAAAAGCCTTTATCAAGAAAGTACAACTGGTGAATTTGAACCTACAATTAGGATGCGCTCTCTTTGCTTACCCAGCCTCCGCTCACACTTCGACTGGAGTCTCACCTTTAAAGATGCCTACGGGTCACCAAATGAGAGTTCCTTTTAACATTGCTCTTCCCAGTGTGGAACCTTGGCGGAACACGCCCCTCAGTGTGCCTTACGTTTGAATGAAGGTTTATAAAATGAGTTTAAGGCGATAATAATATAACTGCGAACGGTCCACACTAGGCGAACGAGGTTCAATAATAGACAGATCCATACCAACGTCTTTAATGGGGATGGCTGACACAATTACCAGACCAATTCGACTATTTAGAATCCATCGTGGATTCTACGCTTTCTGGAGCAAGGTGCACTGCCACGTAGTCAAGAGATCGTCACCCACGAACTCTCGTCCTGAGCGTGGAGATTTCTACCTAGTCAATGCCAGCACAACATAATAAGATAAAGCCATACATGGGCGCACTTCCAGTAGGCTGAGGACGAAGTCTATGTTTGGCCGAAGAAAAGAAGCCACTCCATGGAGCTTGTAGGGGCAGCACCAGGAAAGGTGCTTAAACGAGAAGGAGGGCTGAGTAATGTATTGAAGCTGATTTTATAATTGATCTTGTAGGTCAGAGAGAGGGTATAAAAGCAAACGTCTTACCGGAAAGAGGTTGATGCTTCTTAAGCGCAGCTCGGAATATAATTGTCTCCTGGCTTCCGTAAAGTTGATTATGCTTTCTCGCGATATCGAGTAAAACGCGTGCAACCATACTGTCTCATGAGGAAACGACAGAAAGGATTTGGATGATGACGAGTTCGGAGCTACAGTCGGCAATACGGATGCCTCCCTTCTAATATGAAATCTCTGGATGCTACAGTATTATAACTTGAAAAGTCCTTTTACTAGGGGCGATAAAGCTGCCTAATTCAGTCCTCTGTATTCGCTTTCCTTCCTCTGATATGTTTAGCCGATTAGAGACGTTTCATATTTTTGTAACTTGTTAACACATGTATAACGTTTCGTTTTTGGAGAGCTTTTCTCCCCCATGGACGCCTAATTGGGCATTTTGCCATGGTCGGTTGGACTTAGAATAGAGCCAGAACAAGAATATACTTACTTTTATGATCTTACTATTATATCCTGAAATAATGAGCAAACTAAACTAAGATCATATTATTTACTTTTCCGTTTTAAGGAACTTCAGGTTACTGCATTATGAAGCCGCAATTGCTTCATAGTTTTATCTGTATTGCAATTATAGACTAGTGAAAACAAAATTAAATGCCTCTGATCTCTATTCCTATACTTGTTTTCATGAGCCACAGGACAATTTACCAGTCGCGAAGTTTTGTCGGACGAATACAAAATGGAAAAGCTACCGTGTCTACCAGGATATGATTTTGTGGATCCTACAGTTTAAGTTTCTTTCATTTAACTTGCTAAGAAAACACGCTTCCATAGATCACAAACACTAAATTACAAGAATGGATATCGTGTTCCTGAACCTTATAGCAGCGTAGGAATTGGTGGTTACCCACTAAATGTAAATCACCCGAATGAAAGTGACCTGGATGAATTGATAAATTACAATCCGATCCTTAATTACAGGCGCAATAAAATGCCTCCATTGCAGAAATTCACACCTAATTATGCAGCGTTCGATAAAAAGGTCCTACGTTTCTATGGCTACTTCAAGGAGAGTGTCACTGAGTCTGCGGACGAACACTATCGAGTCCGAAACGTTGTAATATATTACCATCTTGAGGATGATACCATGCATATTTACGAACCGGTGAGACTTAACAGTGGGCTACCGCAGGGTAAAAATACGTTTTCTCATTATTCTCTGTACTGAATTGCACATTTTTTTCCGATTTTTAAATTATTGGAAAGTGACTATTTGACAGTCAAAGCAGGTGACTCCTTTACTTTAGGCCGAATATTAAATCGACAGAAAGTTTCGAAAAACAACCTCGGTGATCACTATACGTGGAAGGACTTGAACATTGGGATAAACCTTACAATTTACGGTCGAGTGTATCGTATTGCAAATTGCGACGCATTTACTCGAGTAAATTCCTCTGCAGATATTTTTTATACGTATTAGTTACAGACACACAAATGTAGTCTCTGGCCGTATGAGACTATTACTTAAGCTTAGTTAAAGTAACTGCATCGTATTGAAAATTCGTTTAGAACTTCTTCGAAAGCGAAGGAATCGAGTTAAATGAATCAGAGTCTATTCCCAACGACCCTTACCTTGAAACTCGGATCATGAGTGAGAAGGTGAAAGCATCCGTCGCAAAGTCTACCTTTGATGCTCGCCGTCAACACTGCGAATTAGACCGTCAGGTTCTACGTTTCTTCGCTATCTGGGATGATACAAGGGAGCTTTTTGGAGACCTTAGGAAGTTTTCGATTCTAGTTAGTGTTGTTTATTCAGCTTGATAAAGTTTTCCATAGTTAATACACTTTCACTTTTCAGTATTACTTGAGTGATGACACAATGGAAGTGCGGGAACATCACACTGGGAACGATGGTCGGGACCCCTGCTCTATTTTGATTCGCCGACATCGTTTTCCCAAAAACCGTGATAACATACCTGTAACATTTCCAATCGTTTGCCTCGAAATCTCACGTAGGTAACTTTGCCTTTGATTCAAGGGAATTTCCATCGGCATCATGTATGAGGAACACAATTTTTACTTTAGCGAATGAGGTTAAAGAATACTATAACCCTAAGGACTTACGAATTGGGGAATCAATCGTTATCTACGGACGCTCATTCCTTCTTTTCGATTGTGACAGTTTCACGAAAGCTTGGTACTATCAAAATTTTGGTCTGACAGATTTTAAACCTATTTGCATTGAACACAAAAACCCTATTGAAAGAGAACGCGTAAGTTACGGCCGAGGAGTCAGGTCGATCGTTTGAGTTTTTTTTCCTCTTGGATTATGTTGTGTTTTAGAAACATTCACATTACAATGAACCGGGAACTTTGGATTGTGATGCACATTCTGTTAGTGGTATACAGTTTAAAGCGAAATCAATTTTCGGAAAACAAGAGGAGCATTCTACAAAAGCGCTGCGCTATGGTGCCAAACTTGTGAGCCCATTCCTTCCCTATGTTGCATAATACAAAGAGGTTTGATTAAATATGGTCTATTTCTCCTAACGTGTTTAAAAAGTGCACAGATTTTAATGACATTTCTCGCCGTACCAGCTATTTTGTTTGTAATTCGGTATTTGTGCCAGACTCATGTTTAAAACCTTGTTTTTTTAAAAAGACAATTTAGGGACATAATTCTTACCTCCATGCACAGGTATGCTGTAAAACTCATGTAGTACTTAATTGAATTTAGGCGAGTGTTAACCCAAACGATAGCCTTCGCAAATTCATTCTCAGTTATCGTCTGGTTGATGACACGATTCACATTTGGGAGATTCCAATTCGGAATTCAGGCTTCCCTGGTGGTACATTCCTCAAGCAAACAAAGTTCGTTTCATGAGACACTATACATTTTCCAAATTTTTGTATCAACCACAGCATATTTAAGCGTTCCAAAAATGGTATTTTTAAAATCTATGGGTTTTATGAGCTGTTACTTTCTGATATATTGAATAAAATTTTACTCATCTTTATTTAAAAATTTGGTAAGATAATCGTTGCCCAATATTTGAAGTTGGTATTAAAAGACGGCAGAGGTTGTTGGTGAGTCGGACATCAAAGATACTCATGGCTCATAAGTGGCATCTATATTTAAGCTAACAAATGTTTTAATTTATTGAAGAATTGCCAAGCCTGGAAGCACTGCAGAGAAGCCAGACTACTATGGTCCAAGTGATTTCGCCATTGGCTCTATTGTTGACGTTTTTGGTACTCGTTTCCTAATAACCGATGCAGACGAATACGTGGTTAAATTTATGGAGGCCCATCGAGATCAGTTTCCCGAAAGTCTGATCGGGAATCTCTCCTCAAAAGTGGTTTCCGATATCATCACGAAGAGCAATGTTGACTCCAGGTCCTGCAAGAAAGGTGATACAGCAGATCTGCAGCGAGAGTAAGCTGATTCTTCATGTATAACGCCAACTTTTTGGCCATTCATCCTTTTCTGCGCTCGTCATCTGCATAAGTAGACTCAATTAATTTATGATCAACACGTCCAGTGGGCTGGCAGGTCCAATACGATAGTCTTCTATCGCCTTTAGTTGTGTCGTCACTGGGTTTCGAACACGTGAACTTCACTCAAAGATCCTGTTTTTTAAATGCTAACCTTTCATTGCGATCTCAAGTATGGCATTAAGGTGGAGCGACATGCTCCTTGATATCCCGCAGTACAAGGATAGCACCCACCCTTTGATTCTCCTCTCACAATCAATATGGGGACGTGTGTTCTAAAGTAATTGAGACTAAGTTTGCCATGGATTGGTTAAAATCTTAATATTAGTATTACTTTATTCAAAGTAAATCAATCTTATCAGACTTCATCATTGCCTCACGCATACTAAGGTAGAAAAGGCAATGTTTCTTCTGTGTTTTTTTAACTTCAGTATCCTTTTGAGAATGCGTTGTTCAAGCTTTTGGTCTTGAATACATGCATGCACTAGGAAAGGAATCTGGTGTTTCCAGTCTTTCCTCATCTCGTCAATACAAGTCACTACCTTTTAAAAAAACCATGTTTCGTCCACAATATAGCGCAATTCTTTTGCGCCTTTTTCAATCTTAATCTTTCTTAGCGTCCTTTTGCTTGCTTCTACATCAAGTAATTGCATTTCTCATTAATTCAGTTTAGTTCAACGCTAGATTCTTGTTTGGCTTTTATGCAGAATTGATCTGCGATTTTTCAGAGGCTCCACTTTTGGACTAATTTTGTTAGGTTGAGGAGTGTTTTAATTACGCTGACAGCCTGAAGTCTACAGTTGAAGTTAATTAATTTTTCCTCAATCAACAGCCTAAGCGATATTGAGAGGATGGTCGACAATTTGACCGTTCAGTTAAGAAAATTGGCACTCAGTGACGAAACACGAATGGACGCGCTTTTCTTGAAGTACAATAAGGACAGGTTGTGCTTTGTGGATATTGAAACTTTGAAAGACATTTGCAAAAAATTGCAGCTTCCAGGGGACGAGGACGTTCTCAATCGCGTAAGACGTACTCTTCCGAATTGATCATTTTCCTATTTTTACATGCCTCCGTCACTAAAGTAGTATTAGCCATTTGCCCACCATTCAAATCACCTACATTCGTCGTACGATAGTATGCCAACTTTGAAAATCTGATGTCATTGGAGTCGTAGTAATCAAAATTAGCATGGAGGAGCACATAGTAATATTGTATAGAAAGAGTAAAGTTCAAAAAAGCATGCTTGAGAGGTAATGCTCCCGACTGGAACGTCAGTTTCTGCTGTCCTAGTGCTTAGTGCTAATGCTAACAGTGACGCGGATATTAAATCATATGCGCCACTCTTAGTAGGAAATGGTTATGAAAGTTGCGTGGAATTCTGCCCCATTAACCTATCTCACTACAACTGTAGGGTCCTCCCTTCTTCCTTATTCATAGCCACTAAAGTGACGCAACCTTGCTCATGAGTGAGTACAAACAATTACCAAAATAATATACCCTCGGAGCAGCTTCGGATGTTACTTGTTCAGCACCGAACCCGAAATGACTCCTTCGTAACCACTTAACTCTCTCCAAGTGTAACAAAAGCCCACGTTTTATTTTTGCAAAAGTGGTTTGAGTTTCACACATCTGTACTGGAGCTAACGTAGGAAAATCTTCCTACTCCTTTAACAATTTAGTTGTTATCGCGTGCATTGACCTTTTCATCTGGTTCCAATAACCTTCACACAGATAGGAATAATCGTAGATACAGGTGGCATAGATAATCGTTCCAATCGCAGTTATAATCTCAATAGTCCTATGAAGTAAATACTGAAGTTATAGCTTTTGAAATTGGTTATTCTTGCGCTGAAGTTGCATGATCATAAAAAAGCCTTTACCGTCAGTGATTCATTTCGCTTGGCCTCTTATTGATTCATTGTTGCCAAACCCGCTACTTCGAAAGTAGCTTGACGCTGACTGCCTTTTACAGTTCTTGGACAAGTATGGCACCAACGGTCGAATGACACTAGACGAGTTTCGAGCCTTCTTCCTCGAAAAACCAATGCCGGAGTGCTCGGCTGTCATTTGTGCAAACTCAGCACCCTGCATCTGAGATGAGCTGAAGGCAGTCAATGAAATCCTGAAAAGTTTATTGACCAGCAATCGTCATACAGTACTCTTGGCTAGGAATCTGCTGCCCTTCCCCGTAGAACAACAGGGAATAAATTTTCGTCTATACACTTGTACTTCTGTGCTCATTCAAGCCTTTGGGACACTATTGCACAGTGAAACCATAGCTTCCATCTAGATCAGTGGTCGAATTTGATCTACCAGTTCATCTCGAGGTTCAGCCTGTCTCAATTACTGCTATTCGCTTTAAACTTGTGTACGCATTCGACTAGCCGATGGAGTGCGACATCCCTATTCGGTCTCAGAGGTGATAAAAGCTCTACGTTTCTACATATCCACAAATTACGTGATCTAACTTTGGGGTGATGAGCAAAAATGTGTCCCTTGTCCTTTAAAGGTGGAATCCTCATACAGGTAGGAAGATTTTCTGAGTTTAACAAACCACTACGCAAATTAGTCACACTTTGGTAAGGTGGGGTGCAGAGTACCCCAACTGGTCCAAGATTTCTGTCTTCCACCCACTGTCAGTTAGCTGGTAGACCAAATATGCTCTTGGCAAGGCACAATTTCTAGTGCAGACGTCAGATACATGATAATCTGATGCTCCATGATCGTGACTGACCAGATATTTACACTTCCAATGGGCGCTGAGAACCTCCGAACTATTCACCTTGATACAATATAGCTAACCGTGTAACATGAAGGAATTCGTGAAAATTCAAATCAAGAAATGGCAACGATGCATGCTGATTTGAAGAGATAACAAAGACAAATTCATCTTAGTGAAATCTTACCATTCTGAGAAATGAGCGGTCTAAATTAAACTTTACCACACTTTGAGGTTACAGTTACATCGATTGGAATTTAGCACGATGTATCCACATGGGCTAAATGTACAAAAGGAAGAATCTGAAGTGCACAAGTTAGTTAAGCTTAAATTGAGAAGCACATCTAAAATGCCAGTAAATATTATTAATTAGCCCTTTGAAGGTACAAGGCATGTGGGGTTGACAAGATATCAGATGGTTAGGAGGCTGACAGGAAACCCTCATAATTAGACTGCGGTTGAAGCTGCAAATTCACAGTGGGTGGGAAATGTGATAGATGAACAGAATAGAATGGACTGATGGCTTGGTCAATAAGAAGAAGTGTGCAAGCGAGTAAAAACTAGCGCCGATTTTATGCTCGTGTTCTCACCTAAGTGTCCGATATCACAGGGCACATGAGAAAGATATTTATACAGACTGGACAAAAAGTAGAGTAGGCAAGAGTAGTCTGAGAGAAACGCCTAGGCAATGACCGCCTCACAAACCGAGGGTGGGCGACGGGAGGAGATAGATGCACTAGTCCCCTCCTCCTCCTCCTCCTCCTCCACTTCGGGACACGAACTGGATATCTCGTTTGAGCTGCGGAACAGGGATGTTATCGGCTCCAATCGGCAAAACGACTGTGACGAAGTAGCTTCCTTTGATGCGGTCGCACTGCTCAACCCACTGGTCGGCGTTTCAACAGGCGAAGGGTGGCGTGCAGCGCAACCAAATTCACTGGCACAACACCCATCAGAAAGACCAGCACTACCACAATCACATCCATCATCTTCCTCCTCATCATCATCATTTTCTTCGTCATCTACCCCGACTTCGTCACAAGAAGCAGAATTCAGAACAGTGCTTAATCCTTTAGCAGTGTAGTTCTGAAAAGATGGAGTTGCAAACAACGTCCTCATTGAAATTAACCAGTGGTCTTTGCTGTTATCATATTAAAGTAAGTAGACCACATTAAAAGGAGATGTGATCGCCGCTATTTACACACATAAACGCTTAAAAGTGATTCTGCTTGTCAAACCATAACAGTGTTTGATCTCGAAATGCACTTTCGGAGGAGAACAGGAACGACACTAAGACCAACGATAATCCGAGTCAAGTTATTCTATCGCTAAAAAATATTATGAAAGGAACAAATATGAAACACGTCAGAGTTTCTGAGCGCTCACCATCTGAGTGTTTGACTGAACGAAACACCTGTCGTCATAAACAGCTTCTTCATTTCCTGTATTATGAGGAAAAGAGACGCAATCAATGGGAATATTGTTCAACAGTACACTTTGGCTTAAATCAACTGTTCCCTCCCCTTCTAACTCTTCTTCAGTCTCAAAGCTGTTCTGCAGCCTCTGCTGACATTGCAGTTCCTGCACCAAAAGGTGCACATATCGATCATCCTGACAATCCCGACATCCGCCGTTGGAAGCCGTTGCACTGAGCGCCTCTTCCACACTCCTAGAAATGGCTGATTGTAGAGCATTGGATGACGCCAACATAGATTGATCTCCTTCAACATCCTAAAACAAAATAAGTTTTACGCCATTTATGAAGCAGAACTGTACTCATCGACTTTGATTGTTATCATAGTCTGTAAGCATAAACTTAAATGTGTACACCGCCACGCGGTAGCTGAAGGTTTTGCAAAGACACTCCACCGCCTTGGAATAACTACTATTATTCTTAATTTCGAATGCCCACATTTAGGCAAAAAGTTATATAAAAGTCAGTAAATCATTACAATAATGAATTTGCCAAATTTGTCAGTTTCAAGGAAAGCATTTGACCGAATAGTATTTACCAGCATCACACATCGTAACGCTAAAAATTCGATAAACGCTAAAATGTCTTTGATATAACTAGGCCACAGTGTGAACCATACACCTCCAGTCATAAAACGCTTGCACATAGGCAACTGCCCATAACTCCTTTCCAATCAGCCAATGAGGTTTCAACCTACCTCCCAAGGCATCTGTGCACCACAAGTACCCTTTGAGGGGTGAGGGAGGACGACCTCAAGGAAGCGGGACCGTTTAATAGGGGCAAAGGAATCGGTAGCTGAAACAACTTCCCGATCCTCAGACTCCAGACGCATACGTGTGTGAAGGTAGTGAGTGCGCACACGCGCGGGGTTAAATTCAATACGACCCTCGGGGTTTGAACAGTGGCTGGGGCTGAGACAGACGCACGGGAATCTGGCGCGATCTACTTGGCATGGAATGCCGTTGAGAGCGCATTCACAGGTTTGTGGGTCGCAAAAGCCAGTAACACAGGTGCAGCCGCATTCAGAACGGCTCTTCCGGATGGCTTCACATTCGTGCTTCTCCATGGGATCGATCTTCTGGAGGCCTGTAGAATGAGACATCGATCAAACGATGTCACCACACAAAATGCACGCGCCATACCCAATTACAATGGCTACCACCCATGTCACACACTTGACCATTACATACTGCTACTTAATTTGCTGATTCGGTCATTAAACATAAATTTGGTAGAACATTAGCTGTATGAATGCAGGCATTGTCGAGAAAAGGCAAGGTGCAAAACGATATAGGGATGGAAAATGTTCATGTGCATACATCCGAATGACCGGTCACTAGGTTTGCACATGAAAGAGTATAATTAACACGACCATGGTTATTGCAGGCGGGTCGACTTAAATCTCAAAGGGGTGATAGTATTGCAATAATGCTAACTAATTTTAAGGGATGTCCAACCAGTGCACAGTAAGAATTTTCACAAACAGTTAAAATAAAATTTTATCAAAACTTTAGTAAAAGTTTATTGATTTTCATAGCGCATAACGGCGAAGGATATCAACATCTTACACCATATGGAACCAGGAAGCATTTCAGGAGTGTATATTTACCGATAATGATAAATTAAGCACAAGAATCCCACTAAAACAGTAGATAGGTGAAATGGATTAGGGAAAAATTTGTTCTCAACATACAGCCTTCTATGATAATAATGAAATTAATAACAATATACTAATCCATGAGGCAACAACTTACCAGCCTTCCGCAGCAAGATACGTCGCCGCTTAACAGATAGGGGTTGCAGAAAATAGTACTCTTCTAAGCTATCCAAAAAACTCAGATCCTCGTCACTAGGGCTTTCAAATGATTCCAAAGGTCGTTTCAAACACAAATCATTGATGTCTCCAGAGCCACTGCTACACTGGTCAGCTGGATTTCTTCGTGTCAACAACCGCTGCTGACATTTGACGCGTGATTCGAGCATCCGAAATTGTTGAAATGAAAGAAGAAGTTTGCCTTCAAGACAGAACCGCAAAAGAGCTGAATAACGCTGGTACTTTCGCCTACTTTGGTGTTCAAAGACGGGAACACGTTCCTTACTCCAATGCTCATTCGCCATTCCTAAGGTTGATCCGCCCTGACTAGGAACACAAGCAAACCCCTGTAAGCGGTCGAAGTGATAGAGATCGACTAGACCAAAGGTAACGTGTCTGCTTTTCTTTGCTCCGCCAGCAAATAGAGCATCATGCGTCGCAAAAGAACTAATCCCATAACCCTTCTCCGAACGATGTGACGATAAATTATACGAAAAATCACTGGGAGTAACACCTGGAAGAGGAGTTTCTTGAATTTCAGCTGTCCTTAAAAAAATGCCACTGGGAATTTGCCGTACTGATTCATTGGTATCGACCGTTATCTGTGAATCATCAGTAGTCAAAACAGAGGGTTCAGACAGAGCTGTGCTGGCGAAATCCGTATTCAGAGAAGACATATGAGAACCATTCTAAAAAACAACAGCTGATAGGTTTCAAGAGCATTTGGAAAAGAAGAAATGAAAAGATTAGGGAAATCAAGTGCGATCAATAAATCAACACCTGAAATAAAATGTAACAGCAAATATAAACCGGAAGCAGCTTCAGGAAGAAAAACATGAACAGTGATCAAGACTGGTGGTATGGAATATGCCAAATTAGAGGATTGTAACAAATGAACAAAAATGGAATGTTCAAAGGTAACAGTCAATAAACTCAAGCTAGAGAAACCGTCACGCCCGCCCATAAACAATTAGGACATATTAACAAGATCAGCGTCATCATTCTGTTGCCTAATCATTACAAAAACAAGTAAGCTCAAGCGAAAAAAGGTTAATTAACAATAAATAACCTAAATTCTTTAAAAACAAACTTTTTAATGCTAATTATATGAATTTTTTTGTTAAAAATAAAAAGTTAGAATTTTAAACACGCGTACTTTACCATATTGCATTATTATTTTTTTTGCAAAAAAATTTTTGACATTATATGTACATTTTTGAGATTATTACAATTTTCCGTGGTTAATAAATGCTCTCCAAAAAATCATTTGCTCAGCCACCTGATTGGTTCAAGGCTGTGTGATAAGTCTGTTACGAGGGAAACTATTGATCTGCTGCGTTTGAGGTATGCCTCTAGAAACTGAAAATCTCAACTCTGGGTATTCCGGTTGGCGATACTACTTCAACTCTTATACAATCAGAGGTCGATCAAATGTAAGGTCATCCACTTCCAGTTTCCATATTAAATGTACAAATCGAAAAAATTGGGGCACTTTCACGTGAGGTTTGCGCTTACAGGACATTTGTTTTTTTGCTTAACAGTATTGATATTATTTGGTGGCTCGTATAGTAGGATTCGACGACGCCTAACGTCGATATTGATACACTTCATTTCCGATGTAGTTCGTTCTTGACTTTAGATTACGTACACAACTTATGCTCTGACAGCATTGGCAATACTGGCTCTAAATCGCAGGATCAAGCGGAACCGTGCCTTACGAGAAGCTGCTGAAGAGAAGAAATAAATGTTTTAGTGCCGCTCCGAAATTCGGTCGTCCTGCTTTAAGATCATGAATCTACGTGAATAGTTTATCTACTAGTAAATATTCTTTTGTGTCGGGATGCTCCTTCGGGGTCTTATTTTCTTGTAGGTGGCAGGGGCGGCAAGATCTGGCGCGTCCTGTTTCCTCATGGTGCAGGGACCTCGATCTCCCATGTGTAGCATGGCTGCGTGTTTATTTAGCGGGCATTGTAGGCTTGCCCTGGTGTGGGTTGTGCGCTTGAGCGCGTAGAGGGTTCAGCATCTGCTCGGGTGCTCGCGCGAGCGGGTTGCCGGGGGACGGTTAGGCGCATTTAGGTTTGCAGTAGGATTCGTAAGATATGTCTAGTTAGCCTCGGCTGTAATGGCGGGCGGACCTTCACGTCATGAGTATCATTTGGGTTTTGGCATGGCGCCTAGATGTGACACTATTCAGGGCATTTATCTTCAAAGTTGTCTCCTTTATTGTAAGTATTTTGAGTCCATTAATAGCACATTTCTTAGGTTTAAAAACTCTTTTGCGTTAATTGTATTTTTAACGAAATGTTGTGTATAATATGTAAAATGGTTTTCACTTATGTTTAGGCAGCGCTTCAGCGGTATTTCGAACGTTGTCCTTCGCTGTGCTGGCATGTTGAAGTCGCCGATAGTCCTTTTGTGTTTGGCGTTAATTGTAGCTGATGCCAAAAGAGGTCCTCAGATTACTGACAAGGTTTTCTTTGACATAACTCTGGGGGAAAAGGCAGCAGGTCGAATCATCATTGGGCTTTTTGGCAATACCGTGCCAAAGACCGTTGCTAATTTCAAGTCATTTGCTGAGGGATATGAGGTTGGTTAGAGACTTCCTTTCTTCAATTTTGTAGAGAGACGGGAAAGTGTATGGCTTTGCGAATAGTATCTTTCATCGTGTCATCAAGGACTTCATGATTCAAGGGGGTGATTTTACCAACAAAGATGGAACAGGAGGATTCAGCATTTATGGAGATAAATTTGAAGATGAGAACTTCAAACTTCATCATGAAGGTCCAGGTTGGGTTTCGATGGCAAACTCTGGTATATTTATTATTTTACGGGACGTCTCCAGGTCGTGACACCAATGGTAGCCAATTTTTCATCACTCTTGTTAAAACAACATGGCTGGACGGGAAGCATGTGGTTTTTGGTAAAGTTATTGAAGGGATGGTGGGTGTCTCTGTGGTCTCTGTGACTTGCCAATTTTAGGATCTAGTAGAGAAAATCGGCGAAGCCGAAACTGATACGAAGGACCGTCCAGTTACTGAAGTGAAAATATCATCATCTGGGGTTTTGCCAGTGGATAAACCTTACAACATAGAACTGTAGTCTTTTTTCTTTGTTTGTATCCTCTTGGTAATTCGTGTATTTCGGTTTTGTTTCTCTATGAAAATTTATATGTAGAAAATCGTTTTGTTGAATTAAGCTCCCTCTTCTTCCAGTGTGTTGTGATTTCCTCGTTGCATCACTTGGGTTAGTTTTGTTTTCGTTTATAGGAAATGAATTACGAACTTTGCGAACGTTTGCAGTTTCTTGACATTTACCACCATATCCTTTGTATGGTTTCTTGCCTCAGGTGTAGTTCACATCCCTTGCATTGTCGTAGCCGTGACTGTCATTTGGCTTCTTAGTCGGATCTGGGGTCCTTATTGTTTCAATGTCTAATTCCTCTATATCTGTATTTGGTATTGCTGATGGTTACGGCAGACCTGCGGCTCTTCTACGGGTCGGCGGCGTCTGCTTACCCTGGTCTGGTTTGTTGTCTCTTTGGAAAAGGGTCTTGACATTACCCAACTGAAGTAGTGCTGAATCACTGCGTGGTGGAGTTTGAGTACTTAGCAGGATTTCTGCATAGACCAGTAGAAAGGTATCTTTCGTCGACAGAATGGATTGCCGGGCCAGCTTGGGTGGCACTATGCTCTCAAGTGGGAAACGTATTTACCGTTTCTTATCCTACCTTATGAACTAGTTCGGCGATATACGCTGGGTCAGTTATCACTGGTGGGAAGAAGTCCTTTTTGTTGCTGACTATGACCATTTAGGATTTGGCTAATAAGATGGTTTGAAACCAAAATGATCTGCACCCTCGAGAGAAGGGAGTGGCAGAATATGTCGCTAATTATTTACTTGATTTGTGGGCAAGGCTTGCTTTTTCAGGCACTGCTTGGTCAAAATCATGGAGTGAAAAGGGAACCGAGACGTGGCGACTTGTAATTATTAACATCGTGTAAACATCACATCTGGTGTAGTTTGCGTGTGAGGGCTTTCTTCGTTAACTCTTTAATTTTGGGTGAAAGTTTCTTTAATTCGGTAGTTATGTGTCTTGGGATTTTATAATCGTTGGAAGGGTGTATACGTGCTTTGCTTGTGGAGGCACATTTAAATCAACAAGGTAGAGCCACGCTGGCACCAGTCACCGCACGCACGTGTTTCCACTTTTAACATCATTCTACGCTAGGCGAAATCAGTGCAATAGCTGTTCTCTCAGGCCGCAACTTGTATCCTCCGCTTTGCGGGTGGAACTCTCATTACAATTATATAATTTTGCCCAAAAGCTTACTAATTTGGGTTAACGCTACGTTTTGTATGGAAAACTAATCTGGCTTTTATTAGTGATTAAACTGGTACAGGCGGTCTGAGCCTGATTGGTTAAGTTTAATGGACACACGGGCATTAAGAACGACTTCATTTGTTCCAACTGCCCAATTACGCCTTTCAAAACACAAAGTCAGTGTCCTTGTAGCCGGAGCGATGGCGTGGCTTAGAATAAAACGTATTCGCGTAAACAAATCATCTCCTCTTATGTAAAGCCACACTTGACTTCCCTTAGGTCAGGTAAATTTGCACCTCCCAAATAAAGACGAAACACTTAGTTGCATCTTGCACGTGTGACCATGTATATATATAAAGAATCTCAAGTGCGAAACTATTAAGAAACGATGTCCAGTAAATCAGTGAAAGCCATTATCACTATCTGCCCATGAGACAGCAGTCAATTTTAGGCTCAAACGACATCCCACAAACAACACATCATCATACTCCTCATGAATAATGTGAAAAAGGAAATAAAGCATGGGAGTACATATGTGCTATTTTTATTAGTAATGACACTAGATCAAGGTACAAAGACCTAGATAAAAGAACAATATTAAATAAAAAATTAAGTCACAGCATATGATCTGGGTTGTTTTAATGCGCGCGTCGGTGCTGACACCATCCGCCAGGCCCTCTTGTTCACTTTTTGAACAGTAGCATCACTGTCAGTTGCCTATGGATTTGGATAGCTTCCATCAAACAAACAATGCATCAACCCAACAGGTAATTATATGGAAACAACAAATTCATTTGTACAGCAATCAACCAATCTAACGAACCAAAAATCTGCCTATCTGATCAAACTCAAGAAAACGACCCGTTCTCGTACTTAATTGGAGTCCAGACGGTCAGAGAGTTGTCTCAGGTGGGAAGGATCGTGTAGTCAAATTGTGAGGTTTACATTTATCCATTTTCGTCGAAATTGTTTCATCGAACATTTGT